GTGTTGCTGATCCCTGTAGGGCTCTGGGAAGGTGTTGCTGATCCTTGTAGGGCTCTGGGAAGGTGTTGCTCCCACGAGGAGTGATTTAGATCTCTTGACAGGCTCTTTAATCCAGATGAATCCAGGGATTTCCCTTGGAAAACCTTCAAGGTGCCCCAGCCTGAGCAAAAACCCATCAGTGTCAGTTGCTAAATCCTCTGCATTTCAGTGACAACGAATCATCTGGAGGCTGAAGTGGCAGCTTGTGCAGGGGGATGGATGGTTTGGCAGCTCCTCCTGGTGTGTTTTGCAAGGGATCAAGGTTGTCAGGGAGCAGCTTAACCCTCAGGAATTGCAAGACAAAGGGGAAGTTGCCTAAAAGAAGATCCTTTCCCTTTGGAGTTGGTTCCACCCGGGGCTGTGCTGCTCCTTGATTGCACTGGAGGAAGGTTTGGCTTCCAGAGGAAGATCTTCTGAAGGTTCCAGGCTAAAAATAGTCCTTTTAAAGCCTTTCTCTTCTGATTAAAGCACCCACCACGAGGAAGCAGCAGTTGGGGAGCCCTAACAAGTGAGAACAGGAGTATTTATATATGTACTAGACATTCTAATCTATTCTAGTGGGAGGTGTCCCTGCTCAGGGTTGGAACCTGATGGTCTTTAAGGTCCTCTCCAATCTTAACCATTCAGTGATTCTAAGATATTGTGAAATATCTCAAATCATTGAATCATTTCAAGTAACTGAGGTGTCAAATTAGGGAATTGCTGGATTTGCAGGTTGGTCAGTAGCTGAGGTGAGGCTGAGGGTGAATCCTCCAACAGTTGGGATTGGTCTGTTCAGTAGAAGCTACAAGTGACAGGACAAGAGGGAATGGCCTCAAGTTACCAAGGGGAGGTTTAGGTGGGATGTTGGGAAGAGTTTCTTCACTGGATGGGTCATTCAGCACTGGCACAGTGAGGTGGTTGGATCCCCATCCCTGGAAGGGGTTGAAAGCCATGGAGATGTGGTGCTGAGGGACATGGGTTAGCTCTGGGCTTGGTAGGATTGGTTAATGGTTGGTAGAGTTGGGTTATGGTTGGACTCCCATGATCTTAAAGGTCTTTTCCAACCAAGGGAATTCTGTGATCCTACCCTGTTGAGGCCATGCCTAGAATACTGTGTGTTCAATTCTGGGCTCCCCAGTTCAAGATGGACTGGGAACTGCTGGAGAGAGTCCAAGGAGGGCAACAAGGATGGTTGGGAGACTGGAGCATCTTTCTTTGGAGGGAAGGCTGAAAGAGCTGGGACTGTTTAGTCTGGGGAGGAGAAGCCTGAGGGGAGACCTTGTTAAATGCCTATAAATACCTGCAGGTGGGTGCAGGGAGGGTGGAGCCAGACTCTGGGCAGCAGTAGGACCAAGGGCAAGGGGCACAAACTGGAACTTGAGGGAAAACTTCTTCACTCTGAGGGTGGCAGAGCCCTGGGCCAGGGAGGCTGTGGAGCCTCCATCCCTGGAGAGATTCCAAACCCACCTGGGGATCTGCTCTGTAGGGTCCTGCTCTGGCAGAGAGGTTGGACTGGATGATCTCCAGAGGTCCCTTCCAACCCCCACCTCTCTCTGATCCCTCAGCAGAGGGAGCCTGGGCCAGGGGGGCTGCCCAGGGGGGTCCAGGGGGTCTGCCCAGGGGGGCTGGTCCCTGCTCCCCCAGCAGCAGGTGGACACAGGGATGTTCAGCCCTTGGGCAGCTCTTGGCTGTGCCCAGGGATGTTGTTCCAAGGCTTGAACACCTAGGGCCCCAGGTGAAGGAGCCTGTGGGGAACCTGGGATGCAGAGAAGTGTGGAGGGATGATGCTGGGATAAGAGTAGTGCTGGAGGGGGGAGAATTTCCAGCTCCTTGACCTGAGACCTTCTCATTCTGCAGGTGCCTGAGCCATGTTGGGCCGGAGGGCAGGGCTGCCCCGCGGCCTCAGCAGCCACCACCAGCTGCCCCTGGCCCACCAGGAGGCTGTTCCCCTGAGGAGCAGGCCACCCAAGGAGCCTGATGTCAGCCTGGAGGTGCTGAGTGGGGGCTCCAGCCCCGAGGGCAGGCAGGGCTGCAGCAGGACCCAGCAGCCACGGGACAGGAAGGGCCGCAAAGCCGACCTGAAAGGCTCCAACGGGCGGGAGGCAGAGACCATCACCTTCATTTCTGGCACAGCAGAGCCTCCCCCCGACCAGAGCTTCTGCTGCTCTTCTCTCTCACAAGCCTGGAACACCTACAAGGCTGTTTTCTGTTGTATAGTGACCTGTGGGGGCTGCTTCCAGGACTGCATCCCCTACCCAGGGCCTGCTGAGACCTCTGCCGACGACGGGAAGAACGGGGATTACAACGGGAGGTTGCCCAGCAGCCCCACCAATGTCTCCCCAGCTGAGAAGAATGGGAACCAGATCAAAAAATCCAGCATGGGCAGCAGTTTCAGTTACCCTGACGTGAAGCTGAAGGACATTCCTGTCTATCAGAACAGGAGACCCAGCCACCACCTGGAATCGGATCCCTGCTGGAAAGAGCTGCCCTTCAGGAACAGCATGGAAAAGCCACCACTCCCCAGCAGCCATCGAAGTTCTGAGGAGTATTATTCCTTCCATGAATCTGACCTGGATATCAGTGAGCTGAATGGCTCCATGTCCAGCAGGGAGATTGATGTCCTGATCTTCAAGAAGCTGACAGAGCTTTTCAGCGTCCACCAGATCGACGAGCTGGCCAAGTGCACCTCAGACACTGTCTTCTTGGAGAAGACCAACAAGATCTCGGACCTCATCAATAGCATCACTCAGGACTACAACCTGGATGAGCAAGATGCTGAGTGCAGGCTGGTCCGAGGCATCATAAGGATCAGCACCAGGAAAAGCAGAGTCAGGCCCCACATCTCCATCCCAGCCAGCCAGAGCCACGAGGAGAAATCCAGCAGAGGCCACGCACCAGACAGTGGGAATGAAACCATGCTGGAGTCCATGGTGATCAGCCAGGATGGTAGGTGGGGGTTCCTTGGTGTCCCAGCTGGGTGGGAGAGGGTGGTTTTCTCAAAATCATGGAGGTGCAGCAGGGTTGAAAGCCAATGTCTGTCTTCAGGCTGGGTTTTTGGGGTGTTCATCCTGGAGAAGAGGAGGCTGAGGGGAGACCTCCTTTCTACAGCTGCCTGAGAGGAGGTTGGAGCCAAGCAGGGGTCTCTTCTCCCGAGGAAGAAGTGATAGGATGAGAGGGAATGGCCTCAAGCTGTGCCAGGGGAGGTTTAGATTGGATCTTGGGAATAATTTCTTCACTGAAATGGTAATTAAACACTGGCCCAGGGAGGTGGTTGAATCCCCATCCCTGGAGGTGGTTAAAAGCTGGGTAGATGTGGTGCTGAGGGACATGGTTTAAGCCCTGGACTTGGCAGAGTTGGTTAATGGTTGGTAGGGTTGGGTTATGGCTGGACTTGATGATCTGAAAAGTGTTTTCCAAGCAGAAGGATCCTGCCTTCCCCTAGGAGCTGGGAGTGGAGGCCCTTCCTCCTTCCTGGAGGCCTCAGCTTCTCCCCACTCACTGTGTCGTGGCTTCCTTGATAGCATCAGTCCCTGTCAGAGAAGTTTGTGCTGAGCAATAGGAGGGCTTCTCCTGCTGCAGTGACTCTGGTTTCCCTCCTCACCTCCAAGCTAGGCAGAAACACCATGAGTCAAACACAACTGGTATGACCAGACGGGCTGGCTTGTGCCAGAGCATGGTCACTCACTGAGCTGCCTCCCTCCTGTTCCACCAGCCCTCTCTGCCCTTGGACTGCTGGGACAGAGCAGAACTGAGGCTCCTCTGCACCCTGGGGTGAGGAGCAGCCAGGGAGTATCCCTGCCAAGTGGAAGGAAGGGCTGTGGCCACAGTGGAGGGGCCTCCTGGTGGCTGCTCCTCTCCTTGTCTAGAGCAGCCTGAAGGGACTGACCTGCAGGATGGGTTGGAAGAGTTTGTTGGAGAAAGGCTGAAAAGCTGAGTGTGGGGGAAAGGGACATAACATAGAACCCCAGACTGGTTTGGGTGGGAAGGGACCTTAAAGATCATTCAGTCCCACCCCCTGCATGGGCAGGGACACCTCCCACCAGCCCAGGCTGCTCCAAGCCCCATCCAACCTGCCCTTCAACACTGCCAGGGATGGGGCAGCCACAGCTTCCCTGGGCAACCTGGGCCAGGCTCTCACCACCCTCACACCCAACAATTTCCTCCTCATGTCCAACCTCCATCTCCCCTCTTCCAGTTTTCATCCATCCCCCCTTGTCGTCTCCCTCCCTGCCCTTGTCCCAAGTTCCTCCCCAGCATCTGGAAGTACCAGAGGAAACCAGGTGGCTGTTGTGCTTCCCAGCAGTGGGGCTGCTGCTTCTCCCTGGCATTTAGGGGACTCTAAAGCTCAGATTACCCAGACAAACGTGGATGAGCTCTGAGGAATCTGACTCTGCCTCCCCTGTGACCTGAGGGTGGTGTCTGTTGGAGACCACTGACCAGGATCTTCACTCTTGGGTCACATCTGCCCACCCTCTCCTGTCTGGGGCCCACCCTCTAGTGGGGCTGCTGCTTCTCCCTGGCATTTAGGGGACTCTAAAGCTCAGATTACCCAGACAAGGGTGGATGAGCTCTGAGGAATCTGACTCTGCCTCCCCTGTGACCTGAGGGTGGTGTCTGTTGGAGACCACTGACCAGGATCTTCACTCTTGGGTCACATCTGCCCACCCTCTCCTGTCTGGGGCCCACCCTCTCCTGTCTGGGGCCCACCCTCTCCTGTCTGGGACCCACCCTCTCCTGTCTCAGCCCCTCTTGGGTTTTCATTCCAGATCTGGCTGTGCAAATATCAGAAGAAACCTCAGCAGATGTGATTGCCCGGAACATGAGGCGACACAGCAGCGCAGGTAACGGGCCAGCCTGGGGGGCTGACCCTCAGGGGCATCCCAGGAGTGAGGAGGACACCCTGAACCTCTCCCATTACCTCCACCTTCTGTTTCCAACCTCCTCGAAGGCTGAACTGAGCCCTGCCCCTCAGCTCCCCCACAGGGTGTAGCTCACTTGAGCTTCATGGGTGAAGGGAGCTCAGAGGGTTGGTGGGTCCTTCTGGAAGGGAGTGAAAGCCAAGCATGGGCTGGTCTGTCCATGCATGGTGCTTGGCCTCACACCCCTCTGGGGCTGTACTTGGGGTGGGACCAGCTAAGCTCACCCCTGGGTGATACTGGAAACAAAAGGAACTGTGCAAAAGGGAAGGGGAGAGAGTTCTGGGCTGTCCCCTGAGCTCTGATCCTGCTCCACTGCAAAGAGCAGCCCAGGGCTAAAAGACAAGTCCTCTCCTGTGTAATAACAGGTCTGGCCTAGAAGATGGCCACAAGACAGGCAGGGTTGTTCCCTGCCCGTGGGCTTTGTGTGGCTTTCTCCTCCCTCATGATACACAAAGCCTTTTGTGGCAGCTGCTTGCCTGACTGCCAGGCTCTCAGCTGCTCCCTGGCACCTTCTCTAATGTCACCATCTCTTCTCTTTCCTCTCCAAGGCTCTCCAACCAGCAGAGATTCCTCTTTCCAAGACACAGAGACTGACTCATCTGGGGCACCTCTGCTCCAGGTCTATTGCTGAGGAAAAGGACCCAGGCAGCAGGCAGGCACCCCAAGGCTTTGCTGCACCCCATTGCTCCCCTTTCCATGCCAGAGTGTCCTCTGCCACTTTTTGTTTTCCCCAACCCTCCCCTCCAAGTCTGCCCTGATCCTTTGTTGAAGTCAAATTTTTCCTGCTGTTTGAATTTCACTGGATGATATTGTAGGTTTTGGGGTTGTTGGGTTTGCTTTTTGGACAGTCTAGAACATCAAGGAAGTGAAGTGTGGAGGTAATGAACTTGGGAGGTGTGTCCAGGGAGGAGAAGATGGACAAGGAAGTATCAGATAACTTGTGCCTCTGGGATTTCCAGACTTCACTTTTAGCCTCCCCAGCCTCAGCCCTTTTCCTGCTCTGAGGATCAGGTCTTGCTTTCTGGCATCCCAGAGCTTCATCTGGGTGGGGAACAGCTGGATAGTGTCCCTGGGTTGGTGCTGAGGTGAAGGCCAAGCACCTTCAAAAGACCCAAATCTCTGGGTCCAGTGGCTGGATCAGTCCCCAAAACACAAGTTCTGTTCCCTGGGGTTTCAGGACCAGCTCTGCCTTCTTCCTGCTGCCCCTTCCTGGTGCTGCCTTGGAAGGAGAAGGTTCAGGGAAGGTGGGTGGGTTCATCTTTGGCCTCCTGGCCTGTCTCCTGGGCCAGTGCCAGCTGCAGAGGTGGGTGCCTGGGTGGCTGAGCAGCCCACAGGATCAGCTTGGCAGGGCCAGGCTGTGGGGACTGTGGCACGAGGTGCTGCCAGTGACATTGAAGATGTGAGCAAAGGCCACCTTGTGTGACAGCTTTGTCCTCACTCCCCTGCCAAGCCTGTCCCCATCACTGCCAGCTGGGCCAGGAGGCTGGGGCAGGTGAGGGACACAATGAGTTAATTCTTCTGTGTTTATAGTAAGAAAATCCCTCAAAAGTGGCTTGTTCCTAGACAAGTGTCTCCAGAAGGTCTTGCTTTTTGGACAGTCTAGAACATCAAGGAAGTGAAGTGTGGAGGTAATGAACTTGGGAGGTGTGTCCAGGGAGGAGAAGATGGACAAGGAAGTATCAGATAACTTGTGCCTCTGGGATTTCCAGACTTCACTTTTAGCCTCCCCAGCCTCAGCCCTTTTCCTGCTCTGAGGATCAGGTCTTGCTTTCTGGCATCCCAGAGCTTCATCTGGGTGGGGAACAGCTGGATAGTGTCCCTGGGTTGGTGCTGAGGTGAAGGCCAAGCACCTTCAAAAGACCCAAATCTCTGGGTCCAGTGGCTGGATCAGTCCCCAAAACACAAGTTCTGTTCCCTGGGGTTTCAGGACCAGCTCTGCCTTCTTCCTGCTGCCCCTTCCTGGTGCTGCCTTGGAAGGAGAAGGTTCAGGGAAGGTGGGTGGGTTCATCTTTGGCCTCCTGGCCTGTCTCCTGGGCCAGTGCCAGCTGCAGAGGTGGGTGCCTGGGTGGCTGAGCAGCCCACAGGATCAGCTTGGCAGGGCCAGGCTGTGGGGACTGTGGCACGAGGTGCTGCCAGTGACATTGAAGATGTGAGCAAAGGCCACCTTGTGTGACAGCTTTGTCCTCACTCCCCTGCCAAGCCTGTCCCCATCACTGCCAGCTGGGCCAGGAGGCTGGGGCAGGTGAGGGACACAATGAGTTAATTCTTCTGTGTTTATAGTAAGAAAATCCCTCAAAAGTGGCTTGTTCCTAGACAAGTGTCTCCAGAAGGTCTGTGAGGAACCTGCCTCTCCCTGCAGTGCCTTCTCCTTCCCTTGGCTCCTCTCCAGCATCCAGTGGGAAGCAGAAGTGGGATGGCTTCCCCAGGGCCACAGGGTGGCAGGTGACCTTGAGGGCTGCAGGTGGCAGCAGGAGGAAGCTGGATCTTGCTGGTGTTGCCACCTGGTTGGTTATCACAAAGTCAACACATGAAGCTGAGGCAGTTGTTTATACATTCAGGTGCCCTTGGATGGGGATAGAAAAAGCTTGGTTGAATTTAGCAGCCATGGAATCAACACCCACTGCTTTTTGGGGACAAAGTCACCAAAACAGGCCCTGGGCTTTCCTCTGGACCATGTTTTTGTGCCTCAGTTGGGCTGAAAAGTGCCTCAATTTATCTGAATTGTGCCTAAATTGACCTGAAACATCCCTCAGTTGATCTGAATTGACCTTAATTGTGCCTCAATTGGCCTAAAATGTGCCTTAGTTTACCTGAAGGTGCCTCAATGTACTTGAAATGTGCCTCAACTGACCTGAAATGGGGCTCAGTTGATCTGAACTGACCTGAAATATGCCTTTATTGACCCAAAACGTGCCTTTATTCCATAACCTGGGATTACTCTTCATCAGGTTTGGGTTGGGGGGGAAAGGATTTCATTCCTCAGGCTCAATTCACTGGTCAAAGCCCTTGGAAATCCACAGTTCAGGTCCCTTTTGGGTGCCTGGTGTTGTGAACTTCTCACCTTTCAGGGCATAAAGCATGGACATGATTTGAGACCACACCTTGAGATGGAGAATTTTGAGAAGAAAGGGAGAGATTTGCTTTCCCCTCCCTGCTTTGTGTTTTTAAAGCTGTTTGTGAGTTAAAAAAACCAACCACCACCCTGTTTATCCAAGGAGAAGAGCTGAAGGAAGGGCAGGCTGGGACTCCTAGAGGAGCTGTGTTTGGTTCATCTCCTTCCAACTGCCACCTGGATGGATGGAGCTGTTGGGATTCCTGCTTCTGGATGGATTTTGTGCCTCTGGATTTGGACAAGTTGACTTCAAACCTGTGCACTGAGCTTGGGACACGTTGACATTTTGGAGACCAGGGGTGAGGATGGACTTGGGAGGAGCTGCCCATGGTTGGGACAGATGGGACAAGGTCTGTTTCAGGGTTGGTCTGTGTACCAAGAGTGAACGTGTGTGGATTCAGCTTGCAAAAAAGACCCCCCCCAACAACCTGAAAAACCCCAGAAACTGACTAAAAGGAAAGACTTGTCAACCTGATGGTCCCTGGAGCTGGTGCACCTGTGGTGTCTTATGGGATTTCTTTTGCACTCCTTGCCCTGAAACGTCTGATTTGGTCTTTTTTTTATAAAGCAGAAGATGTGCTCTTTGCCTCATCTGTGTCTGTCCCATTCCTGCAGGAGGATGGGCCAGACTCTGCTCAGGGGTGTCCAGTGACAGGACAAGGGGCAATGGGACAAACTGGAGCACAGGAGGTTGAACCTAAATATGAGGAAATAGTTCTTGGCTGTGAGGGTATCAGAGCCCTGGGACAGGCTGCCCAGGGAGGCTGTGGAGTCTCCACCCCTGGAGACATTCCAGACTGATCATGTTCCTGTGGGATCTGCTCTGTGGGGTCCTGCTCTGGCAGGGGTTGGACTGGGTGATCTCCAGAGGTCCCTTCCAACCCCCACCTCTCTCTGATCCCTCAGCAGAGGGAGCCTGGGCCAGGGGGGCTGCCCAGGGGGGCTGGTCCCTGCTCCCCCAGCAGCAGGTGGACACAGGGATGTTCAGCCCTTGGGCAGCTCTTGGCTGTGCCCAGGGATGTTGTTCCAAGGCTTGAACACCTGGGGCCCCCAGGTGAAGGAGCCTGTGGGGAACTTGGGATGCAGAGAAGTGTGGAGGGATGATGCTGGGATAGAGTTCTGAAAAAAATTCAGCCCTGGGAGGGAGAATTTCCAGCTCTTCCCTTGGGCAGGAATTGCTCAGGGGGGGCTGTTGTCCCTGCTGGGGGGGCAGGATCTGCTGGAGGTGGGAACCTGCCTTGCTCCCTCTGCCTGGCAGGAAGAGCTTTGCCCTGATGTCCCTGCAAACCCTCAGGAGCTGAACTGCAGGGCTCCACTCCCTGCCCTTCCCTCAGACTCCCTGGGCAGGGGACAGCAGGGCTTGGGCTGGGGGTGGGATTTTCCACAGGACCGACTCTCAATCCAAGGTAAGAGGCTGAAGGGTGGCCACTAACCAGTCCTTTTTGCCCTCAGTTTGGTCCATGAAGGACTAGTGATTATTGGCAGAAGACTGAGCCCAGGCCTGACTCCTCCTCTCCCTGCTCCTCTGCCTGTTCTCTCCCAGTTTTGCTGAAGGAAGGTGGGATTCAACCTGCCCAACCACCCCTGGGCAGCAGCTACTGGGCTTGTAGGAGGAGATGTGTTCCCTGGAAGGACTTGAAAGCCCTGAACAGGTAAATGTCACCTTGTCTCAGCTGGGAAGGGGTCTCCAGAGGGGCTGGTTTTTATTCTTGGAATCCATGAACCAGCCAGTTGGTGCCTGGGGAGCAAAGGCTGCTGCCAACCATGCTGTGCCACTGTCACCTCCACCATCCCCACCTGCTCCTAAGCTGCCCTGCTGGTTCCTCCTGCAAGTCTGGGCCATGTTTTTCTGTCCTTCCTTCTACATTTCTCAAGTGCTTTTCCTGGAAGAGGCTGGGCCTCCCTCAACACTCATTCTGGGCTGGAACACCCAGAACTGCTGCTCAATTCATCTTCCCCACCCACACCCTGAGCTACTGAATGATTTATCTGGTGTGGAAAGGGGATGGACTGACCCTCATTCTTTTGCAGCCTGGTCCTGAGCAGCAACAGAGGAGCTGTGGCCTGGAGGAGAAGCCTGAGGGGAGACCTTGTTAAATGCCTATAAATACCTGCAGGTGGGTGCAGGGAGGGTGGAGCCAGACTCTGGGCAGCAGTAGGACCAAGGGCAAGGGGCACAAACTGGAACTTGAGGGAAAACTTCTTCACTCTGAGGGTGGCAGAGCCCTGGGCCAGGGAGGCTGTGGAGCCTCCATCCCTGGAGAGATTCCAAACCCACCTGGGGATCTGCTCTGTGGGGTCCTGCTCTGGCAGAGAGGTTGGACTGGATGATCTCCAGAGGTCCCTTCCAACCCCCACCTCTCTCTGATCCCTCAGCAGAGGGAGCCTGGGCCAGGGGGGCTGCCCAGGGGGGCTGGTCCCTGCTCCCCCAGCAGCAGGTGGACACAGGGATGTTCAGCCCTTGGGCAGCTCTTGGCTGTGCCCAGGGATGTTGTTCCAAGGCTTGAACACCTGGGGCCCCCAGGTGAAGGAGCCTGTGGGGAACTTGGGATGCAGAGAAGTGTGGAGGGATGATGCTGGGATAGAGTTCTGAAAAAAATTCAGCCCTGGGAGGGAGAATTTCCAGCTCTTCCCTTGGGCAGGAATTGCTCAGGGGGGGCTGTTGTCCCTGCTGGGGGGGCAGGATCTGCTGGAGGTGGGAACCTGCCTTGCTCCCTCTGCCTGGCAGGAAGAGCTTTGCCCTGATGTCCCTGCAAACCCTCAGGAGCTGAACTGCAGGGCTCCACTCCCTGCCCTTCCCTCAGACTCCCTGGGCAGGGGACAGCAGGGCTTGGGCTGGGGGTGGGATTTTCCACAGGACCGACTCTCAATCCAAGGTAAGAGGCTGAAGGGTGGCCACTAACCAGTCCTTTTTGCCCTCAGTTTGGTCCATGAAGGACTAGTGATTATTGGCAGAAGACTGAGCCCAGGCCTGACTCCTCCTCTCCCTGCTCCTCTGCCTGTTCTCTCCCAGTTTTGCTGAAGGAAGGTGGGATTCAACCTGCCCAACCACCCCTGGGCAGCAGCTACTGGGCTTGTAGGAGGAGATATGTTCCCTGGAAGGACTTGAAAGCCCTGAACAGGTAAATGTCACCTTGTCTCAGCTGGGAAGGGGTCTCCAGAGGGGCTGGTTTTTATTCTTGGAATCCATGAACCAGCCAGTTGGTGCCTGGGGAGCAAAGGCTGCTGCCAACCATGCTGTGCCACTGTCACCTCCACCATCCCCACCTGCTCCTAAGCTGCCCTGCTGGTTCCTCCTGCAAGTCTGGGCCATGTTTTTCTGTCCTTCCTTCTACATTTCTCAAGTGCTTTTCCTGGAAGAGGCTGGGCCTCCCTCAACACTCATTCTGGGCTGGAACACCCAGAACTGCTGCTCAATTCATCTTCCCCACCCACACCCTGAGCTACTGAATGATTTATCTGGTGTGGAAAGGGGATGGACTGACCCTCATTCTTTTGCAGCCTGGTCCTGAGCAGCAACAGAGGAGCTGTGGCCTCCCCACCAAATAAGAGGTGACATGAAATGCCCTGTGCCTCAGTTTCCCTCTGTGGGGTTTTGCTGTTCCCTTGCTCTTCCCAGCACAGCCTGGGCTGCTTCCCAAGCCCTCTGAGCTGCAATATTCCTGCATAAAAGCTCAGCCAAGAGCTGGTGGTAGAGAAAAAAGCAACTAACAGACTGAGGGGAGACTTTTAACATCTGGGAAAGCCTCCGTGGAGCTTGGATGGCTTCAGGTTCTGCTTTCCAAGGAGGTGGGGAAGGGAATCAGCAGGGAGGGAGCCAGGGAGGGCGGAGCAGCCCCGCGGCTCCAGCGGGTGGCAGCACCGAAACGGCTTCTGGTGACAGCACGGGTGTGGAAAGGGACATGGAGCTGCTGGAGAGAGACCAGAGGAGCCACAGAGATGAACCAAGGGCTGGAGCAGCTCTGCTCTGGGGACAGGCTGGGAGAGTTGGGGTGTTCAGCCTGGAGAAGAGAAGGCTCCAGGGAGACCTTAGAGCAGCTTCCAGTGCCTGAAGGGGCTCCAGGAAAGCTGGGGAGGGACTTGGGACAAGGGCAGGGAGGGAGAGGACAAGGGGGGATGGACCTGGATGATCTGGAAGGTCTCTTTCAACCCATCAGTCTGGAATTGGGGGATCCATGACCTGCCACCCTCCAGCACAGCCCTCCATGGTCTGCTGGGAGTCAAGACCAGGGTGTATTAGTAGGATTTGGTTCCCAGTGTCCCTTGTGGTGTCTGGTGCTTCCCTGCCATGGTCACAAGGATGGGGTCACCATCTGTGGTCTCTGGTAACTCAGCCCAAGCTGAGGATCCAACACTCTTGAAGCTACTTCAGCTGGTCCGACCAGGTCTGTCCTGCCTTGGCACGGTTTATTCTGGGGGAAAGTGTTTATTTGGAAGCAGAAGGGTTGCTGGTGTTTGGCCAGGAGAGGCAGAGGCAGGTGGGTGTTTGCAGAGGACAAGGCCACCAGCAGAAACACCTTCTGTTCCGCTGGGGTCGGAGTCCAGGGGCTGCGCCGGGATCGGCCACAAACATCACCCTGGGCCTCCACCTGCCTGGGGCCTGAGCTGCAGCTCCT